TTTTCCAGCTTCTACCTGCGGTTGCTGCCCTCTCCTCTTCCACCGATGGGTGCAGGCAGGCTTGTGCCTTTAAGGACTTCATTTCATGTCCTTTTAGAAGAATCTGGGGAGGGAATGGAAATAAATACAAGGGTCTGATTCTTCTTTAACAGGAAGAGGAGAACTTTTTTAAATGAACACTTAAAAATAGTACTATATGCGTTTCTATGTTTTTTTCCTTTTTATTGAATTTATTGGGGTGACATTGGTTAATCAAATTATAGGTTTCAGGTGTACAATTCTGTAACACACCATCTGTACACTATATTGTGTATTCACCACCCCTAGTCAAGTCTTTGTCGATCACCATTTCCCCCTTATCCTCTCTTCTACCCCCACCCCAACAACAATCACCACACTGGGGTTTATTGTGGTTTTTTTTGGTTTTTTTTTTTTTTGTTTTTTTTTTTTGCTCAATCCCTTCACATCCCACCCAACCCTGCCAGCCCACGGCTGTGATCCTGCTCTTTGTCTAGAGCATTTTTGACAACTACATAGCATCCCATTGTAGGAATACTTAATAAAGTATTAAGTATTACTTATTTACTATTGTTAAGCACCAGGTTATTCCATAGTTTTTACTGCTGTCAATATCATGGAGGAGACCTGCCTGACACATATGTCTTTGAGCTCCTTGGGGAGTATTCCTAGGGTAAGAATAGCTCAGGCGATGGAGGTGCTCCATTTGAAGTGTTTGCATCCCAAATTACCCCCAAGAAAGCCTGGGCTAGTTTACCTGCCCCATGAGTGGTGAGGTTCCTGTTTTTCCACACTCTTTCCCAATAATTGGCATGATCACTAAAATCGTAGTGGTAAAAATCCTTTCCGATTTTATAGGGGCAAGTTGAGCATCTGGTTTTAACGTGCATGCTTCCTGGTATGCTGAGATGTATGTGCATAGCTGCAAAGGCCTTGGCACCTGGGGGGTGGGATGAGGAGAACACGGGCTGACTCACCTTTCTCCTCCATGCACCTGTGCCCACCCCCAACATGTCTCTGACCTGCTTCCGTAGAAAGACAAGTAGGCACAGAACAGGCCATGATTTAGGAGACCTCAGAGGGCAACATCTTCCCCATGACTCCTGTGACCTACTGCAACAACTGGGGGACAGCATCTGTAATCCTGGAACCTGCAAACCTTCGTGCTGCCCAGCATTTTGGAGATGCTCTGTCATTGTTCTTGCTGAGGCCTGTGGGAGCCCATGAGGCCCGGCCCAAACCCACAGCAAACTAAGCTGTTTCCGGAAAGGAGAGCGCAGCTGCCTCCTACCTTCTTGGGGAGTGTTTGGGAGCTTCCTTTTCAGAATCGCCTTCTCCACCTCTCCAATGACTCACCTGTTTCTGTGATTCTACATTTGGAAACACCATTTATATCATGTCATTCTCATGATTAAAGCATTCGATGGCTCCCCACTGTTCTGGGTGAAAGCCAGCTTGGCCGCCCTTGGCTGGGCGCTCAGGTCCTCTGTCCATTACTTACGCTTCCAGCCCCAGGAGACCTCACTGAGAAGCTCCCCGGCCCGCCTTGCACCGCCGCTGATGTCCTTTCTTCTCTGCTCCTCCAAGTCTTGTCGCTTATTCCCAGGATAATCAGAAGTGTGGACAGTTTGGGGTGATGATAAACTTGGACAATCCTCAAGGTAAGGAAATGCAAAATGCTTCCTTAGTTTGAGGTCTCTGTATTCGCCCAGATGTTGACAATAAAATCTACAATAACAATTTGAGTTTGTAGAGCCATTTCCAGAATACAAGTCAATCTTAACTTTTCTGGACCTAAATTTTTACATGTCTTTCTGGTTCACTCTTTTTCTTTTTTTTTTTTATTCTTTAGAGGCTGAAGAAAGGTTTTTTTAGAGCAGCTCTAGCCAGCAGGGACTGGGCTCACAATCAGGCTTTTGTAACTTAAAACAAAGAAATACAAAAGCTCAGTGTTTAGCAAAGTGTATTATGTTTATTCCTGGAGTTGACCAAGGTTATTTAAGATGGTGCACAAACAGACTTTAAAGCATCCATATAATGCTGATATATTTATTTTACTATGTAAGAGAAAAAAAAAATCCCTCATATTAAATCCTTGATTGAATGGATATCCTTTGTGGCAGGAATTGCTAGCCGTCCATTAAAATCCATCCTACTATCTTTGGTGCACAGCCAGACCACACTTGCCAGCCTTCCCTGCAGTGAGATTGGCCAGGGGGTTAAGTCCTCTGCAGTGGAATGTGAGTGGAAGTGAGGAGTGCCACACCCAGGCCCGGGCCAAAACCCTGTCCCCTCAGTGTTCACTGCTCCATGTCCCCGCCTCCCCCAGCTGACTGGAATCAACACCCATGACAACATTCAAAACCATAAGGTACAGGTGGCAAAGCCACCACCGTGTAGATCAGGGATCAGTACCTCTGGCCCCTGTGCCAAATAAAGCCCAGCTCCTATTTTTAAAATAAAGTTTTATTGAAACACAGGCATGCCCGTCTCCCTGGGTATTGTCTATGTGGCTTCTGCTACAACCACAGGGACAAGTAGTTGCCACGGAGACCCTGTGACCCGAAAAGGCTAAAATATTTACTAGCTGACTCTTTACAGAAAAAGTTTGCTGACCTCCTGGTAGATCCCTGAGGGACCATATGGAAGAAGAGCACCCCAGTTCTTCTGGTAAGCAAGCAATAAACCATTGAAATTCTGGGACTGTTGCTACTGAGTTTACCCTAATCTCCCAATACAGGCCTAACTCAGCAGAAAAACTAGAAGGCCCCATGTGATTGCCCAGTGGAGATGGCCGCAGGCCAGCAGTCTGTCCCACCTCGGGTGACCGTTTATATAAGCCCATGGTGGACTCAGCTCTTTCCTCTCCAGGGCCCAAGCCCAGGCCAGACTTTCCCATACGTACTCTGTCTCAGTAAGTCCTCAGGCTGTCCCCAGGGAGTCACTGCCTGACTTCAACACAACATCACAGGTCTTGAGATTGGTGAACATGATGTGACTTATGCCCAAGGATCTGAGCATGTACGGGGAAATGTTCTCCGATGCTCAATGAATTGGCTGCAGTAAGGGTGACCCTTAATCAAGGCGGTGGCGGGGCACGTAACGGGTGGTCATGATGGTGGACGAGGTGTCCCTGCCCTTACAGGACTGACCGCCCAGTTTACTTTTCCCGCTTAGTAACTTATTTCGGGATATGCACTTTTGTAAATCAATTAGAGGCGCTATTACTTATATTTCCATATTCACTTTTTTATTTCTACCATCATTTTAGTTTTTAAAAAGGCAATGACACAATTTTCATGCTCACTTTTATTCATGGGAAGTTATACAGGTCTTCCATGTATGGTAATGATATAAACATTTTTTTGAATGAGTGTGCTTTAAGTAAAAAGAATTACCCATGTAAAGAGAATCGCTAATAATAGCGCAGGTAGTATGCTGATCCGGCAAAAATTGTGACGTTAGTACGAGAATAACTGAGATTCCAGAAACACCGCGCGTATCTAGGCTGATGGGAAAATGTCATGGGATTCTGATTCACAGGACGTTGCTCCAGGGTGGACAGTACCTGAGCGATCACCATGCCCGCAGCCACCTGCTGCCTCTCTCTGCTCCCTCTCTCTGCTCCCTTTCCAGAAAGGAACCCCCAGCGTCACCCAGGGAGCTTGCCACCCTCCGCTCCCCCAGGGCAGTGTTCTCCACCATGAAGTCGGTCCCGATTAACACCATGGTTAATGGGCAAAGCCAAGTGAAGGGCACAGTAAAACAAGGACTCCCGCTTGTCCGGCGCTTGCTCAAGTGTGTGCTCTCCATGTATCTGCTGAGTAAATTGATGGGGATGGAGAGGGTGGGGGGCTAATTTGGGACCCCCAGCGGTGTCTTCTCTCCTAAGACCCATCCAGCCACTTAGGAATGAAGGCCAGTTCTAAGGATTTTCCTCTCCAGATCATGTTTCCATATGGAAACCTTAGAAAATTACCCAAGGGAAAATTCATATTTCCAATCAAGAACCACTGAAACATGAAGCACTTACAGCTAATGTGACCCAGGGATCATGCACGTAAGCGAAGCTGAGGTCTGGCTTCAGGCGTGGTGGGTTTCAGCTTCACCCATCACTCCTGTAGAGTCGTCATGAGCCAGGAATGGGCTTCCTAGCTGCAGCCAGATGTGGCAAGGTCTAGAAGTGGCTGCCTCTGTTTGTGAAATGGATCGGTGTCCCAGCAGGCATGTGATTGAACAGTAAGATCAGAAGAATAATTCATCCTCACGTTCTATGTTTTGCTACTACAGCATCCTACAAGCTCCCTAAATGGACAGCCAGGACTATATTACCAGGTCACAAAGGCCACCTGGCCTTTGGGGGCGGGTGTGTGTGTGTGTGTGTGTGTGTGTGTGTGTGTGTGTGTGATGTGTGTTTAGAAATAGCCTGTTTGCTTAAAAGACAACCCAGATATGGATAGAGATGTGGGTGCTCTTTATTAGTGCTCTTTATGACATGTGTTTTTTCCTAGATAAAAGGGACGAACCTCAGCCCAGGTCAGTCTTTATAGAAGCAACCACCTCTGGCAACTGACTTTAATGCTGTCACAAAGTCCACAGCCCCATCACAGGGACACTGAGAGACTTGTCCTAAATTTTCCAGTTGAGGAGCTGTGGGGGTGGATGTTGCTCACAAAATTTGCAGGCTTTTTCTGAGGACCAGAGGCTAAGCTCCCCCTTGACTACAGGCTTGGGCCTGCTTTGGGAAACTCATTGCATACTAAGGTTGAAGTTTGCAAGGGAGAAACCCTTATGCAACAAGTTGTTTAACAAATCTGGTGAAGGTAATCTGAGAGCCTTCCTGGGGCTGTTAAAGAGGTAACTCTAGGTAGGTGTGGCCTAGAGGCCCTAATAAGGGCCCAGAACACGGTTTGGAGTAGGCAGGTGCTTTTCTGTGGTCTCCTGATTAGGCTGCAGGGCACAGAGGAAAGGCCAGAGCTGGGGCGGCTGGGAGCTGAGGAGCAGGCCACACAGCCCTTTGGAGCTGCATGAAGACCTGGAGCTGCTGTTCTTCCACGATGTGGTTCTTTGCTCTGGTCCTGGGTTCCCTCACCACTTCCATGGCTTGGGGTGAGTCCTACTGAAATACAGAGGGAAGCACACTTGGAGGTCCATATCTGGTGACAAAGTGGGGTAGTCGCATGCGGGGCACAGGTGTGACAGCTGCAGTTCCAGCCCAGCCATCCCGAGTCCATAGGAGACACGGGTGGTAAACACTGGAGACCACAGCTGCTCATGCTGCATGCACAGGGTCCACCCGCTAGCCTCAAGCCTCGCAAACCAGGACTTCTAGGAGCTCAGTTTATTTTCCCCTTGATTCTTAGTCCAGATGTGGCCAAAGAGTGGAGAGAAGTTTAGTAGAATATTAATACTAACTCACAGGGCATGCATCCCAATCCCAGCTCAGCACTTACTAGCTGTGTGTCCCTACGGGAGGTCCTCCACTCTTCTGAGCCTTGTTTTGCCCTCTCTAAAATGAGTGATAACAGGATACCTCCTGCATGGGGCTGTTGTAAGGATGAAATGGGTTGGGTTTTTTTTTCCCTAAAGAACACAGTGCCTGGGACAGAGGAAGTACAATAGAAGAGTCCATGAATAGAGGGATTCTTTTAAAGTGTATTAATAGAAAATGGTGGGAAGCCGACAGATCAGGAGCCACTGTCACTGAAAAAATTGTTACTTCCAGTTCCCAAGAGGATGGAGGAGGCCACACCACCATGGTGGCCACGAAGTGAAGCAGAGGGAGGAGGGAGGAACTGGGGGTAACAATCTGTTCTTACTGGACTGAAGGGGTCTGTTTGCCTGTGCATATCGAAACCAAGGAAGACACGAGTTTGCAGCCAAAAAAGTAAGGATTTATTGAGGAGATGGCCCCATGCCTGGAGTCACAGGTGGCTCATGCTCAAACACCAGGCCCCTCTACAGCTTCCAGGGGATGGATTATATAAGGGGAAAATCATTAGTCATGGTGACTAACAGAGTTAGGGTCATGGTTTCTAGAGGTCGATGGGTGCCAGGAGAGGGGGTAATTGATTATTGTATCACATCTTTATGTCAGCCTGTCCAATTTCACAAGGATTTGTTTGGTGGGATCTGTCTGCTTTCCTGGGTCTGGAGCTAAAACACAACTGAGGCCAATATATTATGTTTAGTTTGGCTGAAAACTCTGTATCAATAGCCAGTTAATTGGGGACCTTGTTGCTAAGACTACTGGACACTGGCCAGACCCCTGTTATCCTGAGGGCTTCGTGACTAAGCAAGGGAGAGGGAGGTGCTCGGTGAGGCCAGTTTGAGTCAAAGGGGGAAAAAAAGCCAGAGTGAAGAAAATACAGTCTGCGCAGTTACCTAGTCTCTGGCTCCTGAACCCACAGTGCTGGGCCATCAGCGCCCTGACAGCGCAGGGCCACCTGGATTTTACCTTCTTTCTGGTCGCGTGCACTCTGGGAGGCCTGGGAGTGCATGTAAGGACAGAGTCAGAAAGAGGCCAAGTTGGGAATGGAACAGCCCCGAGCTGCTGGCTCTCCCACTGCCCACCTTTTCCCGCCTGCCAGTTGGGCTTCTGTGCACTTCTCTCTCGAAGGTTATCATTGGCTTCCTAAAGGCCAGGCTCCTATCAAGTCCGATGTCTCCTCAGACTGCAGCCTCCTTCCCCAATCTGAAGCACTTGGCACTCTCTCAACCCCACCCCCTACGAGGTGCTCTCCTCCCCCAACTCGGATGGCTCTCTCAGCTGGTCCTTTCCCGGAGTTGGCTCTGCCATTCTTCTCTTCTCTCCTCCCGGCCTCCTCCGTGATGCCAGGCCCATCCATGGTGTGCACCTTCACTTCCAGGTAGCTGATTCTGCTCTGCCCTCTCACCTGGCCTCCTCCAGTCATGAAGGGCCCGACTTTCTGGGCCACCTCCTCACCCAGAGAGTTGCTTTGCACCTGTGCCACACCTGTCTGAAATGGAATTGTGTCACAGCTCAACTCTTGGATCTTCTCCTTTCTTTTCTGTGTCTCCCCACCTTGGATCAGGGAACAAGCCCTTCTTCAAAATTCCTGATAGACCACTGTATTTATTCATTAAAAACCCCTTCTGATTATAAAAAGGAATCTATGTTCAATGCTGAAAACTTGGGAAGCACAGGGAAAAAATGCCACCGGCCATGACACCACTCCTCGAGATCTTGATGGGCACGCTCCCAAGGAAATCCATCTCGGTGCTCACTGTAATACTTCGCAATCACAACAAAGGAGAACAACCTAAATGACCACAGTAGAGGGTTGGCTATTAAACACAGGGGCATGGATGCTGTTCTATACCCTGCTTTTGCACATAGCCCCTAGTGTCACTAGGTAGTCTTCGATAAGACCAAATTTGAATCATTCTTTTTTGCTCTAGCCACACACTTTGAGAGAGAGATTGGCCTTTTGTCTGTATCTAAAGGGGAACACTTGGGAGGATGAGAGGCTAGAAGTCATTTCTGAAGGGGAGCACTTAAACCAGCTGAGGCTGCCGAGGCTGGGCCCGAGGAGACGTGAGGGTGGGCGCGACCGAGAGTCTGGAAGTTCAGCATGGCCCATGGCAGGTATAGCCAGGGCTGGCAGGGAAGCCGCAGGGAGAGGAGTTCGGCTCGCTGAGGAGGAGCTGCCTGCTGCCCAGGAACAGGACAGGTCGGGGGCTGACCCTCTCTCTCCGCTCGATATCCCTGCGGAGAGCCACCAGAAGAATCTCTTCAAGCCCAAACCCGTGGCCTGGCATTGAGGCCCTTGCAGACACGAAGCTCTCTCATTCCAGAATGATCTTCCTCTCCCCATAGGTTCCTCTTGCCCGATGGGTCGTTCTCTCTTTCTCAGTCAGGTCTTGCCCTGTGGTGTCCCGGAGCCCTGCGTTGGCACAGTCCGCCCTCTGCTTTACACTTTTGTACCCCCTGTTCCATCTCCCCTGGTCCAGTGTTCCCCTCCTGCAAGCCCCAGTGCCAAGGCCACCGCCTCCATGATGCCACCACTCCTGGGACACTTCACTGATCCTCTCTCAGGACACCAGCCACTTGCTCCTTTCTTCCCAGCAGTAGGGTCAAATGTGCATGTGGCTCATTCTCCCTCCAAGGCCCAGGCTTCTGAGAAGAGGGGCTGCCTCTCATTCACGCTTTCATCCAGCGTGTAGCTCAGTGCCAGGACCCTAATGGATACTTGTTTCCAGAGGCGCCTAAGCATGGAAACCATATGTCTTGTCCATACCCAGCAGCCCTTCTTGCTTTTATGTTTTGCTTGATGCTGTTACACCTCTACCCCCATTTGCTCCTTAGGTGGACCCCATGCATTAAGAAGTCACCTCATCTCCTTTTTACATAGGAAGAAACTGAGGCCTCAGAGTTGAGGTGACTCATTCAGGGTCACATGTAGCCAGACCCATCTGGCATCCAGTTCAAACCTTTCACCACTGGTGTGTCCTCACTTTCTCTCGATATGCACAGGGCACCCGCCTTCACCGCCTATTGTGGACACCGTGCAGGGCAAAATCCTGGGGACATATGTCAGCTTAAAAGGATTTGCAGAGCCTGTGGCTGTTTTCCTGGGAATCCCTTTCGCCAAGCCTCCTCTTGGACCCCTGAGGTTCACTCCTCCACAGCCTGCAGAACCATGGGCCTTCGTGAAGAACGCCACCTCTTACCCTCCTATGTGAGTGCTGGCATCTTTTAATGGAATGTTTGCCTCAAAGGGATGCAGGAAGGCACCGAGGCTGGCCTCTGTGTGGCTTCTCCACTGTCCTGGGGTCCTTAAGATATGGTAGATCCTTAAAAATATTCCAGAACTCCCACAGCATTCTAGAGCCCTTTAGTCTCCAAATATTTATTGGGCACCTACTGTGTGCCAGGCGTGTTCTAGGTTGCTGGGCGCCATTTGTAAATGAAATAAACATGGTTGCCTTCATGGAGCTTATGTTCTAGTAGGGAGAGAGAAATAATAAATAATATGCAAATTAATAAATTATGTAATAGGTTAGAATATCATAAGTGCTTTAGGAAAAATTAATATTGAGCAGGTGATGGGGAGGAAAGGTAGGATTCTGTATATTCTCCTGTCTTGAACATTGCCATGTCTGGGGGGCGGGGTGGGCCAGGAGGCGTCTGGGTGGGAATGTTTTGAGGTGTCGACCCGGCAGGCTCTCAGTTCCCAGGTGTGCCTAACGACCTAGTCCCAAGGAGGACTAAGTGCCTGGCACACTGGGAGGATTCAGTAAATGTCACCAATCACAATCTATGCTGGCTCCTCACAGGCTGTTATTAGGGCAGGCAGCGGCGCTTGCCTAGGGTGGATGGACGGGTGGGTGACAGAACCTCAGCATGTCAGGGCTACACGACCCTTGGAGAAATCACTCCCCTCGCTTGGACCTGGCCGACTGGGGCCCAGAGCAGGGAGGGAGTTCACCCGAGGTCACCCAGCACACCAGTGGCCAAGGCAGTTCTCCTGATGCTGCCCTACCAAGACTTCACCCCTGATCTGTCACGGACTCCGAATGACTGGGGCCATCTGAATGACTTCTCATGGTTACTGGCAGTCTCCTGTGGCCTAGAGCACCTGGGTCCCCCGGTGGAGGAACATGGGCATCCTGCACCCCCTGCGGGGGCCGCGCGGATAGCCAGGCTCTGTCCAGGGCAGCAGGGACCATCATGTCCCAGGCGGGCACTGGTTGGGCAGCCTCCTGCTCTCGACTCTGTGCACCAGGGGGGTCCGGGGAAGGAGAGGAGCCAGGCCTTCGCACTGTGTGTGGTCCTGGGAGGCTTTCGGGAGCCCCAGGGTCCCCCACCCAGCCTCCGCCCCCCTCAGGCAGCCTCTGGTCCGCTCTGGTGTCTTCACTGTGGTGAGAACAACTCCGCACAGGCCTAGTGCTCTCAGGCCCAGGCCCAGGCCTGGCCAGTGTGCAGGAGACAGCTCCGAGCTCAGCCCTGCTCGGGCCTCAGGTCTTCTCCTTCCTGCCTGGCCCTCCCAGGTGCTCCCAAGATGGAGTGACAAGCCACATGTTCTCAGAGATCTTTACCAACCACAAGAACATCCCTCTCAAGTTCTCTGAAGACTGTCTGTATCTAAACATTTACACCCCTGCTGACTTGGCAAAGAGGAGCAGGCTCCCGGTGAGTGTGGTTCCAGCTGGCGGCTCTTCTGGTGCATGGCGGGGGCTAGGGGCTGGAGAGCAAGCAAGGGTGTGCTGAGTGGGGCAGCGGCCTGGCCGCAGGGAGGGAGCTGGGAGGATGGGGAGGAAAGGGGCGGCCTGCTCCAGCTTTGCTGGGAGCTGATGAACTTTGGAGAACGGCCTCCTCGAGTCACGGCCAAGAGGTAGGTGACCAAACCAGACAAGCTCCTGAGGTCCTTCCCAGCTCTGCTTCTAATAACCAGTGTGATTGCTTCCTCCCCGTCCAGGTGATGGTGTGGATCCATGGAGGAGGCCTGTTAGTAGGCGGGGCATCAAGCTATGATGGGCGGGTCCTCTCCGCCCAAGAAAACGTGGTGGTGGTGACCATCCAGTACCGCCTGGGCATCTGGGGATTCTTCAGGTAACATATTGCACTCCCCTCACTGTGCATTGGCCCTGAAAGGGGGGGTGCTAGGCCCCAGCCCTGGTCATGTCAGCCCTTAAGGAGACCTTTGCCACGTTCCCTGGTAAGGCACCCAAATCCCTTCATCATTGGCCTCGTCTCCCAGTCACACTGGTCCACTTGCTTCCGAGCTTTTGTCCGCACTGTTCCCTCTGCCTGGAAGGCCTATTCCACCCGACAAACTCTTGTTCATTCTGTAAAGCCCAACTCAAACGTCGCCTCCTCTGAGATGCTCATCTCCTTTGCACCTGTGCCGCCACAGCACAGCGCACATCTCTGGAATGACAGCGGCGCAGCGGTTAGGGCGGCAGTGTGAACGCCCTGGCTCTCATGGGAAAGCAGGGAAGGGGCAGACCCAGGGAGGGAGCTCGGAGGGCGGAGAGCGCAGTGGGTGACCTGGGGTGACAGTGGGGAGGCTACCAGAGTAGCTGACTCCAGCGACACTCCTGCCAGGAGGGTTGCCAGGGTCCCCCCCGGCCCCGCCCACTTCCTTCTGCATTTGGCACCAGGCTAGAGTCTAGAGACAGGAGCCAGGTCTCCCTAAGGCACAGTTAATGGGAGGTTTTCGAAATGCACTGGCCCCAGGGCCTCTGGCCCTGAGATGGCAGATGGAATGTGGGCTGGAGGTGGGGAGGGTTCCCACGGGAAAGACCCCTGGGGCCAGATGCTGTTGTCACATGCCCCAGCATGCATAGGCGTCACCCAGGCTCCTCATCTCTCTCGCCCCAGCCCGTTTCTCTGCTCCCCATTACGTTAAGCCTCCCTGCCTGCTCTCTAGGTTTTCTCCCCTTCCCGTTGCTCCTCTCCCCACACCAGTAGAAATATTCCGGCCACACCCTGCCATTGGGCTGTTCTGGCCGAGGTCCCAGGGACCCACCGGCTTTGGCACCCGCATGTGACCCCTCCCGCCTCTTTGAAATGCTTCCTTCCCTCGGCTCCTGGTCACCTCCCACCTCAGGGACTGCTTCTCTGGGCCCCTTCAGCGACCCCTCCTCCTCCCTGTGCTCAGGCCTTGGGTCTCACTGGTTGTCTGAGTGGACCCCAGCTTTTGGGGGGGCAGCTTTCACAGACTCAGATGCACATAATTAACTACTTCCTGGATGTCTAAAGGGCACTTCACACTTCACCAGGACAAACTTACACTTGACTCTCACTGCCCCTGCTTCCCCCACCCCTTCCCCCACCCCAGAAACAATCCTTCTCTCCGGCTGGGCTGCTGGCAGCTCCATCCCTCTGGTTGCTCAGCACAGAAGCCTGGCGCTGAGGCCCCACCCCACCCCCCGCTGGCCAGCAAGTCCTCCTGGCTCCACCTTAGGCCCATTCAGAGTCCAGCCACTCTGACCTCCTCCCTTGCACGCGCCCTAATCAAAGCTCTCTGACACGTGTCTCTCACCTGGGTTATTGTAATAACCGCTTACTTTTCTACCATGACTGATGGCCAGTGGCCAGAGTGATCATTTAAGACAAACAGAATCACATCACTCCCCGGCTTCCCACGTTACTTACAATGACACCGAAGTCCTTACCAAGGCCCACAGGGCCCTCTCCAGCTGCGTGTTCTACCCTCACACTTCCGTTCGCTGGACGCTGGGGCCTGTGTACTTGCTGTTTCTATTGCCTGGAGTTCCCTTCTTCGGATGTTTGTGAGGCTCATGTGCTCATTCACTCAGATCTCTACTCAAAGAGGCCTTCCCTGGACATGTGATCTGAGCTAGGACCCCGCTGCCCCACCCCTGCTTTTTCCCTCATGAGCCCTGTTTTATTTTTCCCCAAAGCATTTTAACTAACTGGTGTTATATTCTATATTTATCTATTTATTTGTTCGTGATCTATAGTGTGAGCTCTGTGTAGTTAGAGATTTTGCCTATTCAGTTCTCAGATGCACTTCCAGCTCTTAGGACAGTGTCGGCACATAGAAGATGCTGTGTTAGTAGATGCCAGGGGAATGAATGAGGTGAATGAATGTAGGGCCCTACAGAAAGCAGTGCTGCAGGAACGGAAGGTAGGCGCACACCTCTGAGGCGGGGCTGCGGAGGCCTCGGCCTGCTCCCGAGGCTCGCCCGGCCTTGGCCCCAGCCCCACCTGCGGCCCCGAGAACCCTGCATGATGCCTGGCTCCCAGCCCTGCACCATCCCTCCCTCACAGCACAGGGGACGAGCACAGCCGGGGGAACTGGGGGATCTTAGACCAGCTGGCCGCACTGCGCTGGGTCCAGGAGAACATCGCCAGCTTTGGAGGGAACCCAGGCTCTGTGACCATCTTCGGAGAGTCAGGAGGAGGTGAAAGTGTCTTTGTTCTTGTAAGTGTTCCTTGCCCTGATGTGGCTGCCGATGGGGCCCCTTGGAGACCAGTCAATGTAGCCAGAGGCACCCTCATGAGCAGGCGCTGGATTCCAAGCGGGACCTGCCCTGTGCAGAACCAGAGGGTGGAGAGCTAATGGCCCAGCTCCCCTGGGCCCCCAGGAAGCGTGGGGCTCAACTGCGTCCTGGGGCCAAAACAACCTCCAGCCCTGCCCGCAGCATCCCTTCTTCTCGTGTGGAGGAGCGCTCTCATTGTTAGGTCAGGACTCACCTCGCTTCTCTTGGGGACTAGGGGTAGGAATAAATTATGCAGAAGACGAGGCAACCCCGAGAGTTTGGCAGAGGGTCCTTGTTTGGCTTAAAGCCAGATCTACACAGCAAGAGGATGTGAGCGCTAAGGACAGCCCTGAGGTGGTTTGGTGGTTTGTCCACGGCCCAGGTCGGGGATAGCAGTCTCTGTGGACAAAGCAGGGAGCAGGCTGGGGGAAGGAGAAGAGGGGGCGGGGATGGGACAGGGGACAAGGGACACAGACCCCCCGGTAGCCTGGTGTGAGGGATGGAGCAGGGGGTGGGGGAAGACCCTGTGGGGAGCAAAGATGGAGGACCAGATCAGAAGGCGCTGGGAGCTGGTCCATGCCCCTCCGGCTGCCTCGCAGTCGCCCCTGTTACTATGTTTTTCAAACATGTTTGCTTTCCTAGCTGAATACTCAGAGGAAACTTGTTATATTTTGTAAAGTGGAGAAAAAGGAAAAGTACAGATAAGCCCAAAGAAGGAAAAAAAGTCATCTACAATCTCACTACCCAGGAATGGTCACCATGGACATGTTGACACTTATCTTTCTAGTCTTTTTTCTATGACACGCCCTGTCCTGTATCTATCTACCTATCTATGTATCATTTACCTATGATTTTTTAAACAAAAAAACCTTCCTTACTATTACAAATATAAGATAAATATTTTCATAACCATTAAGTACTCTTCCATAATTTTATTTTGTATCGTTTCAGAGTATTCCATGGTAAGAATTAAAAATAGCTTATTTGCCTACTACCATCATTTTGGAATGTGGGGTGGTTTTCAGCTCTCCCCGCGATGAATAGCAGGAGCGCCCCCAGAAATCGCTGTGCCTCCGTGATCATTGTGCTCAGGGCAAATTTTTAGTAATGGAAATGTAGACTCAGAACTGTACCTTGAAAGTGGTAAGGGGACTTGCCAAACTGCCTTTCAGGTACTTGTGATCAGTTATAATCAGCGCTCGCCACATACTTCCTGTTCTGTTCCTCACTCTGTGCCCCTGGCTTTCACTAGCTGAGGTTTTCTTGGAAAACCGAGCCTTGGGTCAGCCTGGAAAACAGGCCACGCCAGGTGAGGACCTGTCCTACCCACTGAGGCCAGGTCTCCAGGGGAGCGGGCCAGGACAGAGCCAGGGAGGCGCTTGAAGACCCCTCCCCATGAGCCTAAACTCTTTTCCTGTCCACTCCCCTCGCAGATGTTGTCTCCCCTGGCCAAGAATCTCTTCCACCGGGTCATCTCTCAGAGCCGTATGCTCCACACTGACAGCTTGGCCAGGACAGACATTAAGGCCGTAGCTCAGGTAGGTCCCACACTGGACAGCCCTTAGGCCCTTTGCTCTGCTCTCCGGGAGTCCTCAGAGGCCTCCATTGCTGTGGGGCGCAGTGACACCCTCAGAGAAGCACAGAAAAATAGCCGAGCAGTTGCTCAAGGCAATACCTTTCCCTCATACCCGCAACTCCTTTTTGTTGCCTGGCAAACTGGGCTAAGGAGCAGAAGCAACTTGCCAAGGTCAACAAGTGATCAGGACAGGGCTGGGACTCAAGGTCATGACTCTGGATTGCAAACACAGTCACGGTTCACTGACCATGTCCCCAGAGTGTGCCAAGGCGGGGTGCTGGCCTGAGAGTGGGGAGTGGGCTGCCCTCATGTGTCATCTCTCTGAGGGCCTGATTTTCTGGGGACCCCCTGCAGCCCGTGGGCCTGCAGTGGTTGCCCCCTGAGGACCTTGTGACTGGGGTCGGTTTCTGGAGAATTAATTCATTGATTCATTTGTTCACTCAACAAATCATTTTGGTGTAACCAGACATCTAGCAACCTCATGAGACTTCCATTCTAATGGAGGAGACAGATTAATGATTATAATACATCATCCCACAGTTATCAAATGTCAACTGTGATAGGCAGTAAGGAGAGGTACTTAATGTCATAGCAGGATTCAAAAGAGTACTTAGTCCAGTATATAGAGGGTGTTATCAGGAAAGGCTTCCTGAAGAAAGTGATCAATAAGTTGAAACCACAAGGATGAGCAGTAATTTACTTAGTGACAAAAGAATGTTCTAGGAAGCAGGAGCAACATGTGCAAGTGTCCTGTGGCGGGACGAAGTACCTTGGGTGAGAGAGAGTGACTAAGGCTGATGTGACCAGAGCAGAAGCAGCAGAGGGGACCTGGGGTGAGCGGAGGATGGGGACAGTGGCAGGGGCCGGGCTGCACGGGACGCTCTCCCGGCCAGCGCCCGCTGGGGCCGGGGCTGGGGGCGCATTTTCGCAGGGTTGTGAAAGTGGTTTCCTGGAGGGGTGGGGGCAGCGGCCGGACTTGAAGGGGCTGGTAAGTAGGAGGAAGGAAATGAAGGCACCAAGAATTCGGAGGGTGTTTTTCAGAACTCTTTCGTTGTAAACAACGGAGCTCCGTTTGACCAGGCTTAAGTCAAGAAAGGGGGAATTTATTTTAAAAAAGCAGGCGACAGAGACGGGGCTGAATTTCACTGTCAAATAAGAACTAGAAATTGGAAAAATGAAGGGAATTTAAGACTTTTATTCTTGCTCTTGTGCTCTCCCCTCCTTAACGTATCTCTCTCTCCTCCCTGCTTCTCCCTTTTCCTGAGTGCTGATTCTGTATCAGACACTCCCCTAGGCCCTGGGGGGCCCGGGCCCCGTCCCCACAGCCCCACCATTGTGGAGCCTGCCTTCTTCTCTCTATTTCAACTTCTCTGGCCGCTCTTTGCAGTGCTTGCGAGAGGCCCAGTGTTAGTAAGAGGATGAGCGGAATTTGAAACCTGACATCGTGATTGCCCTTCTTTTGACATTCAGCTTTGAGATCATGTTGCCTATTTTAAGATAGACAAGGTAACTGAGACAGAGGTTGTATAATTGGCATGACTGAGACCCTGGACCACACCTCCTGGTCTGGGGAATTCTCTGCTCCCCCCTGCTGCCTCTGGAAATGGAGGCCGAGCTTGGGATAGAACACCTCCTACTGACTGACAGAAGGGGCCAGGCTCCTGGATTTCACTGTCGCCTGATTTCTCTGCAGCAAATCGCCATCTTGGCTGGGTGTGAAACCACCACCTCTGCTGTCATGGTGCACTGCCTGCGCCAGAAGTCGGAGCAGGAGCTCTTGGAGACGTCGCTGAAAATGGTAGGCGCCTCGGTTCTCCTGGCCACGCAAGCCCCGCCCCCCCGCCCTCCCCCCGCCCCCACCGCCCCGCACTAGGCCCCAGGCTTCATCCTTTCAGCTGCCTGTTTGCCCCAGAAAAACTGCCTGGCACAGTGTCTTGTCTCTCAGGAGTAACATCACCCCAAAATCTGAAGGGGGAATTTCTTGAGAAATATCTCCAATGTTAGCTAAGTTAAAAACTAACAAGATAATCAACAGTGTAATAATTCCCTGGCTCTGTCAAAATTTATTATTTTGTCATTCTTGTTTCCAGGAATATTTTTAAGAAAATATCCCTTTTGTATTCCCAGAGGTAACTACCATTCTGATTTTGGGGAATGGGGATATTAAGAACAAAGATTTTCAGACAGGTACTCAAAATTTATCTTGGTTAATTGAGAAACGATCAGGTATAACCTAATGATGGCCCATTTTTCTACATTTTCCGATATCCTGCCTCAGCTGCGATTCCAGGATAACCATCCATCCCATCCATTCATTCATCCAACCATCCATCCATCTCTTCATCATCCTATTATCTCTCTATCCATCTACAAATATATCCAATTCATCAATATCCTTTCATCATTCTAATATCAATCTATCCATAACTTTCATTTATCTATTATCAATCATTCATGAATCATCTCGCCACCATACCTCTTCACTCCATTATTGCTCCCTCTGAAATCAATGATCCAGCCCTCAGGCACATGCTGGTTATTGCCCATCTATCCACTCATCCATCCAATACACACATGCTCCATGCAGTGGCCACATCTACCCATTTACCCAACCACCCATCCATCCATCCACCCACCCGCCCGCCCACCAGGGTGCTGGGAGTACAGAGAAGAGGATCATTCATTATAGTCAGCAGGGATGCCTCACAGAGACGATGACACTTGAGGATGGATGAATGGCTGTGGCATGGGCCATCACATGGAAGTGTCAGCAGGACAGACACCCAGAGAACACAGCATCTTCGTCCGATGGGAACTGTTCCTTTTCGTGTGGGGAGGTGTGAACTTGAACCCAAAAGGAGCCTGAATCTCTGGACTTGCTCCCTGAGCCCTGGGCCCTGCAGACATTCCTGGGCCCCCAGGGCAGGCCTCTGGCACTGAACTCCGCTCTGCTCCATGGGGGGATCCATGGTGGCCTTAGGGCGTGGGTCCTGGCTCCTCAGGCTCAAATGAAGTACCAACATATTCAAAGAATTAAAACACAGCTGTTTTCTGATGCCTGGAAAGAGGCAAGTTCATTCCACGTGGCCCAAGAGGACCCAGTTAAAAGGTTGCAAGGGGAGAGCTGGCGACTTTGGGAAAACCCAGAGAACCAAAGGGCCGTGCTCCCCTTCTGGGGTTCTCTGAGCTCGTGTGGAGTCTTTCCATGTTAATCCACTCTCCCCAGCACACACGCACCCACACACACCCCGTGCACACTGGGCTGGTAGGGCTACAGCCCACAGTGGAGGGTCGCTACTGGCTGGTTTCTGCTGCTGGGCTGCCCCTTTAGCTCAGTGCAGCATTCAGTCGGCGCAGTCTTGGTGAGCGGACACCATGTGAAGCCTGGGGCTGGGTGAACTTCGGTGAGGCTGTGTGAGTCAGGACTTTCCAGTGCAAGATGAGGAAACTCTTCGCAACGTACCTTAAACAGAAAAAGGAATGTGTTGTAACAGAATCTGCAGGTTACTGAAAAGTTCAGGAGTAGGTGGCTTCAGGCATGGCTGGATCAAGAGACCCATGTAGAATTAAGAATCTGTCTCTGCCCCCATTTTTATCTTTCAGTGTTGGTTTTACTCTCAGACAGCTGTGTCCCCTGGGGAGGTTAAAGAAAACATTAGCAGTCTACACATACATCTTACCTGCTTAGGAAGCCCCTTTCCCAGTTATTGCAGCAAAAGTTTTGGGGTAAACTCTCTTGGCCTGACACAGGCACCATGCCCGTCCATTAACTAATCTCTGTGCTCAGGAAGATGGGGCACCCCCGGTCCTATACAGATACCTGGACTCATGGAGTGAGAATGGGGGTAAGGGAGGTTCCCCCAAAGGAAAGCTGAGGTGTTGTCGCCTGGGGGAGCAAGAAGGGGAAATGGATAGAGGGCGCGGCAGGCACAAACAACAGACAGCCGCTCCAGAGCTCTCCTCTCCCCGACCCCCTCAGACCCTGGGCTCTCGTCCAGGGGAGCTGGTGCCCCGCCCACTTCCTCTGGGCCCTGGCACCAGGAGGGAGAAGCTGACACCTTCCGGGCCCAGGTGGCGATCAGCTTTCCTCCCAGGAAGCCTTCTTACCTACTTCCTCTGCCTCTCTTTCCACAGGACTTTGGCCATTTTGATTTCCTTGGAGACCACAGAGAGGTAGGAACCTTTGGTTTCCTGATTACTGGTTTTAAACCTCGACACCTTTAAGCTCCAGTTAAAGATAATAAAAGAGCTCTTGCTGTGGACATATAGTCACTCTTTGTGTTTGTATTGCTGAGGCCCAGGGACGGGGTGACTTTCCTGGGTAACCCAGCCAGCAGGACAGAGGTAGGACTGAAACTTGCGCCCGTGACTCCCAGTCCAGTGCTCTTGTTCACTGGCTCTGTGTCCCTTGGACCCAGCCTACACTCTTGCTTCTGTTTCCTGCTCCCCACAAAGCCCCAGTGGGAGAAGGCTGGACTAGAAACCCCCACCACAGGGAGGCGGGGGCCACGGGATAAGGGTTCCTCGGGAGCCTCCCCTGAGGGGCCCACCTCTTCCCCCAGGCTGCCGGGGTGACCGACCATACAAGCTGCACTGTTTGCAGGGCCATCGGGAAGGGAGCCAGGAGTCTCTGTCCTGAGGTCCCCACCCTTCTCCCAGCCACGCAGGAAACTCCTGCCGCACCCCCCACCTCCCTCCCACCGCCCACGGGGTCGCCAGGTTCCAACAGCATTACCTCTGCAACATCTTACAGCCCTGGACACTCTGCTTCCTCCGTGGGGATAGTAGCGCTTATCTTAGAAGGTGCCTTGAGGATTAAATGGCATTTTTTCAGTCATTCAGCAAAGATTTTACTGGCACTTACTATGTGCCAGAACGTGAGTTTTGAGCTGGGGAATAGACCAGTGAGGATAGACACAATCTCCTGCCCGCTTGCAGTGAGGAGAGAGCACAATAAACAAATAAAATATGTGGGGCGTTTGATGATGGTCCGTGACATGGAGAAAAAATACGTGGAAAATGGGGTAGCATTGGCCAGTGATTTGAGCTCGCATCGCCAGGTCTGGGACTGACTTCGTGAGAAGGTGACAAAAGAGCCAAGTTCCGGGGGAAGAAGAGAGGGGCCTGCTTAGCTCCCTTGGTCGGGCCTGGAGTTCTGTGCCACCGCCCATGGCACACAGGTGTGTGGTGCTGGCCTCGTGCTCAGGCCGGCTGAGAGGGAGACATGGACATGGGGTGACCCAGACAGGGGCCATGCAGACACTATCCTATCCCCTCCCGCAGAAGCACATCTTCCTGCCCATCATGGTCGATGGGGTGTTGCTGCCGAAGATGCCCGAAGAGATTCTGGCTGACAAGAAATTCAACTCCATCCCATTCATGATCGGAATCAACAAGCAAGAGTTCGGCTGGATCCTTCCAACAGTGAGCACCTGCGGGCCCCTCCTGCCCTCTGCGCGCCCCTCGCCCCAGCCTCTCATCTCTGGCCTTGGGACCGCCTCCTTCCGCAGACCCCGCCTGGGTCCCTGGCAGCTCTCCCCTTCGCGCGGTTGACGGTCCTGGGGAAGCCTTCTCTGGGGTGGCCTGGCTGACACCTGGGTGGCCAGGCCTTGGGGACCCCTCTCCCAAACTCTGATCGCCCCCAATCCAAGACCCTTGAAGCGTAGGGTGCGGAGGCGCGGGGTGGGGGGGCCGTGGAGAGAATTATTGCGCAGATGAGGGCGTGACACCTGGGGAGGGGCGGAGCTGGGGCCTTGCGGTCCCTGCCTTTGGCCTTCAGGGTTTCCACAAAACCCCCCTGCATGCTCTTGGTCAGCTAACTAGGTGGTTTCAAAGCAGGGGGCTTGCCCTCCCAGTGAAACTGCCTCCTCAAAGGCGGGAACAGCTTTCCCATATGTCAAATATAAACAAAGCCGACACTATTTACACCTCTGCAGCGGGGACAAGATCCAGCGTGAATTCAAGCTCAAACCTTGAAACAAAAGACAGAGCCATTTTGAGGCTGGATATGCAGGAGGTTGTCCCTGTGACCAGGCCACCTGGGTTTGCTTAGTGGCGCTTGTCACCTGTGCACGTGGCAGGAGGTGGTGATGTCCCTCGCGGAAGGCGGGCACGAGTTCAGGCAGCTTTCCTTCCGGAGGGTCTGGGGGCGGAGCAAGGCTTATGCCCGGTGTGGTGGCCGTGCAGAGAGGGGAGGCTCTCAGGCCCATGAGCAACCGGTCTTGGGGTAGAGTTACATCTCCCAGGGCAGAGCGGGATTCGTCACGGTAAATGGTTCTCAGCGGGGCTTCGGGGGCCTATCTGCCTATCATGGGGCTTTGGCTGGAACACATGGTAAATTCTCCTGACAGCACGGAGTTTGCCCGGGGGCTGGGGTCTGTCATCCTTGGGACCCAGCCCAAGCTGCTAGGAGTCGTGCCAGTTTGATCATGGCTCTCAGTGCAGAGATTTGGGTGGATCGTCATGTGCAGAGTTGTCCAGCAGTTCTCACTTGAGAATGGTTTCAAAGGTTACATTGAAGGACCAAAGCCATACTGGCAGGATTTGGGGATTCCGGGGTCATCAGGGACGAGCGGGGTATTTGTGAGGCTGTGTTGTCTGACCCGGAGCCCTGGCCTTCAACACTAGCTTGCATTATGTTCCAGAAGGCTGAGACAGCTCCTCTTAACATTTACTTAATCTTCTTTGCACTCCTTGAGTTTCTGGATATAAATCCCTTTCCTTCATTGGTTTTGCCCAATCATCAGAGACCCTGCTCATCAAGACAGGACAAGTCCCTCAGCCTGCATTGCTTTGGCTGGTTGGTCAGTTTGGTTCTTCCTGTTAATCCCCAGTGATTCACAAATATCACACCATTGTTTCAACAGATAATAGGCTACCCGATCTCCGAAGGCAAGCTGGACCACGAGACGGCCAAGACACTCTTGTGGAAGTCCTGCTCCATCACTGTAAGGGTCTAGGGGATCCTGGGAACTGGCGGAGACCCAAGGAGGGACAGGGGATTAATTGCCCCGGATCGCCGAGCGGTTAAATGGCAGAATGAAGACTGGAGCCAGAGGGCTTCCATCTTCCCACGGGGAGGGACAGAGGGTGCGCATGGGACTTGAGAACTTCACCCGAAACACGAGGCTTCCTCACCGGCTGGAGGAGCCACGTCACTCAGCCGGGGTGGGGGGTCATGTTCGCTTTCGATCCATTGCAGAGGATTCCTGAGGAACTGGTTCCAATGGCTGTTGAGAAGTATTTAGGAGGGACAGACGACCCTGTCAAAAAGAAAGATTCATTCTTGGATTTGTTGGGAGATGTGTTATTTGGTGCCCCAACTGTGACTGTGGCCCGTTACAGCAGAGGTGAGTCCCAGAGCCTGGGCAGTGAGGGACTCCAACCCCACCACCTTCGCTGTCTGTCCTGCCCCTCCCCGCTGGCATAGACACATGTGCCAACTACTGAAGCTCAGGCCTCCTGGGCTGATTCCGTATGGCCTGGGGGCAGGGCACTCTCCTTTTTTGGTTTCTGCCAGAAGCAGACTCTGAGAAAAGGACTCCAATTCAATTAGCACATTTGGAGGTGACGCCGGAACCACCAGCAGAGGAGTGGAGAAGTGACATGGGAAGTGCGGGGGGCCACCGTGCTGTGCGGTCAAGCAGGTGTCTACCGCGGACACCTGGAGCTGGGGTGCTCTGGGAATCTTGTGGAAGGCATGTGCCAGGGTCATCCTGGTGACGAGGGCACTAGGGTCCTTATCCTCCACCTGCACGAGACGTTGGCGTGAGGCTGGTCCAGAGAGGGCGCTAGCTCCCTGGAGCTCTGACCCGCTGTGCCCGCGGGCAGAGTGGCCTCTGCCAGCTGCTGACCTCAGGCGAAGAGCTGCAGGCCCGGGGAGGGGGGGCGGTGGGCGAGGCTGGCATGCCCTGCAGCAGGGGCGTGCGGACCCGCTGGCAGCCTCTGCCCCAGGGGCCCCCCTCCCGGAGTTACGGGGTCTGTGGGGCTAGGGCTAATCTTGCAAGATGTGCCTCGGAAGGTCTCCAAGGTCAGAGCCAAGTGTGAGCTGGTTTGTTAACCAGTAGAGCTGGGGAAAGAGTGAAACCAAGCGCAGGATCAGGAGGGTTGTCCAGGACCAAGAAAGCCAGAAGGGGTGAGCGGCAGGGGGGTGAGGGCAGGTGGCCCAGAGAACATCCGCGTCTCCGGTTGGCTTTACCACGGGCCTTCGGACCGATCCAAGGCCGTGTGAGGTGGGGGGTGGGTGAGCTCACCTGGAGAGGGAGTGACTTTCAGGAGGCCTGGCGCCTAGACTGCAGGCAGGAAATGGTGCTGTGGTCCCTACCTCTTTCTCCAGCGGTGCTGGGAGGCCTTTAAACTTTGTGCCTGTGATCAAACGGAGCTGCCACCGGCCTGCCGCGCTTCCCCGCGCGCCTGGACGTGCACTCTGGCTCCCGCCTCCTCCTCCCCAGGAAAGGGGGCGCACCCATTCTTTCATAACCTTGGTCTTGCCTCTTGTTTTGTGTCTCGCTGGCGGTGTCCTTTTCTGCGCTATTTGCTGCTCCTAACCTGAACCTGTGGTTTGTTTATCTGATTTCTCTTGACTTTAAGTTTAGGGGGTTTTTTGGCTAAGACTACATAGATTTTTATCAATGTTAGTCTTTCATTTTTGTATTTGTTTCACTCTCTTTTTGATAAAAAAAGTTTTCTAAACATAAAATTCATACCTTTTGATTGCAGGACGTTTTGAAAATATGGGAACATGTGAAGAAGAGACTAGATATTGCCCATAATTCCTTTCCCTAGAAGTATTTGCTGTACATTTTCGGTATTTTCTTATAATCTCTTCACTCCATACATATGATTTAAAAATTAATTTCATATTTTTTGTGTTCCTAGAACACTATGTTGCAGTCATTTCCTCCATGTCTAGAAAAAGTCATCAAAACATCCATTATTCATGGATTAAAATTGACTTTAACATTTCTGTCTCGGGTATTTAGGCTGCTTGCTTTTATTTTGATGCTACAAAAAAAATTTGTTTAGTTATATGAGCATCAATCCTTAACCAGGTCTCTTAATCATTTTCTGAGGATTGGCTATTAGAGATGAAATCAACTAATCTGGGTCACAGATTGTGCCGTTGGTGCATAAGAGTGTGGATTTCTTAAAGCCCTCATTTGACATACTAAGATTAAAGAAAAAAGAATATTGCCAATTTTATAAGCCCTTTCTCACCCCCTAAAAGAACATCATACTATTACAATTTGTGTATTTTTATTATCATCACTCCTTCTCTCTGCTTCTCTTGTTGTTCCTAATTGTTATCCACGTCCGTTCCCTACTTTCCTTTGAAGACTGTGTTGCAGTTGCAAGGGTTTGCTAAGTCTTGGCGGGCTGGGGAGAGATGAAGAAGAGTCCTAAAATATCATCATCATCATCATCATGTTTAGGGCAAAAAAAGGTCCTAATTCACAAAAGTTCTTTCCTTTGTGGCTGGGTCCTGAGTTCCTTTCTAAAACTCCTGAGCGGCAGAGGCAAGGCTAACCTTGACCCTGAGAAAGCTGGTTAACAAGGAAATTATGGAACCGCAGCGGGACTACTTCTTCTGGACAACACCGCTTGCTCCACCAACGGGGCAGTGATGAGGGGAGAGGGAGGCAATGAAATAAATAATTGTACATCCTCCAGTTGGGATATAGAATAATTTTGTGGATAAATATTGAATGATGTAAGAAACGGTTAGTCATTACAAGATAACATATCCAATATTATCCCAATTCAAATAGAAGGGATGTGTGCTAAAATATTAACAGTGGTTTCTCTGAGTGGTGGGATAAGTGGTTTTTTGTTCATTTTCCTTTTTTCAGCATTTTCCACATTTTTACTGTCCCCAAAGGGTACCTATTGGGCTGCAGGTATTCTTCAGGTGAATGGAAAGTAGTCTGTTACCAATGAGATGTGGTAAACTGCGGATACAGATGCTCTGGTGTGAATGCTTCAGTAAACAAAGGGGTTCATGTGAATTGGCTCAGTGCTCCCACAATGACGGTTATTTTGAATGGATTTACCCAAGGTTCCAACATTCATTCATTCATTCATTCATTCATTCATTTAGTGAATACCTGGCTCAACTGTGTTCTGCCTGTACAAACTATGCATCTTTAATCAACTCATGGACCTTTCCAGAAACTCTGCTTCTCTGCTACACTGATAATTGTCCAGCACAATTATCCAGGGACATTGTCCAGCCCAGAGCCAGCACTCACGATGGGTGGCTGCTGTTAACATGGTCATTTTGTGCTCAGGACCCAAGGGTGCCACTAATCCCAAGAGCTCAGGGCCCCCGGAGACCTCGGCACCGTCGGGAGTGCACCTGGTAAGGTGAACTGAGCAGCATTCTTGTCTCTTCAGATGCTGGAGTCCCCACCTACCTGTATGAGTTTCAGTATCGCTCAAGCTTTTCATCAGACATGAAGCCAGAGACAGTGATTGGGGACCACGGTGATGAGCTCTTCTCCGTCTTAGGGGCTCCACTCTTAAAAGGTGACAGCTGTACAAGCCTGGAGTTGGGGGTTCTGGGGTCGAGGCTCGGTCTGTGGCCTTGTGCAAGTTGCTCCTTCCCTGTAGGCCTTAGTTCCCTGAATTCACTGTAACAGGCTGGACCACAAAGGTCCCACCTTTCTCTTGCTCTGACTTGCATGATGGAGCACGTGCATGTGTGTGCTCTTATTCCTGGTCACTCTGAGGCTCCAGACCTGGGCGTCAGTAAGACAGGGCCCCACTCAAGGGCTGGAATGCCGCCTGTTGCTCCCCACTCATGAGAGCATATCAGGATGAATGTAAGGGTAGGGTTAGAGTTGGTGTTAACCATGAGTCAGGGATGAAATATGTCCTCTGTCTATCTGCCCAACCATCTCTCTATCATCTAAAACTCATATTTTTAAAAAAGTTAATATACAGGGTTGGCAGAAGTAACATCCACTTGAGTGTGGTGGGTAGGGTAATAATATGGGTGTAATAATTTATAGTTTTAATTTGAACATTTCACCTAAAATGTCATGTGGTGTGCTCAAGTGTGATGTTGTTGTGTGACAGAATTACATACTTATGATTTTGTAATAAAAGACTTTGCAATAAAATAGGGGCATTATTCATGCTGGATCCTGTATTTAGGAATATATTTTAAAGACAACCTTTCACAAATGTCTTCAACACTTTATCAGTGGTTGCAGAGGACTTGGGTGTGACCCACCTCAGGGTTATTTGGGACACACCAGGGCCACACCCTGATTGGATGACTCTTTAAGATCATTGTTATATTTTAGATTCTATGCAAATGTGGGTGGGTGACAGAGATTGAGAAAACCCCCATCGATGGACAATCCTGGGAGGTGGGGTGGCTTTAGCAGAAACCCTGGGGTGAGGCATTGTGACTCTGAAATGCGGAGCAGGGCCGGTGGCCACAGAGCACAAAGGCATCAGCGTATGCGTTGACTACAGCCCTTTGCTGAGTCCTGGACCCGTAACTCTTCAGCTTAAAATGCACAGACACTACCCAGGATTTTCTTAAAATTTAGCTTTTGGCTCAGGGGATCTGGAGGAAGGGCTCAGATTCTGAATTTTTAACAAACACTCAAGTGGTGTGGCTGCTGTTGACCCACGAACACACTTTAAGTAATGAAGGCTTTTTTCCTCTTTCCTCCAGAGGGGGCCTCAGAAGAGGAGATCCAACTCAGTAAGATGGTGATGAAATTCTGGGCCAACTTTGCCCGGAACGGGTGAGCAAAGGTGGAGCGCGGTTGGGATGGGGCGGGCGTATCTGCTGGGAGGGGCGGCTTCCAACCCCTGCTGGCCCAGCCCCTGGGGAGACCTCCGATGCAAGAGCTGCCTACGAAGGGCCGGGCTGCCCAGGAGACGGCGAGGCCCCTGCCTCTGGGGGCGCACGGGCCTTCTGGGGGCGATGAAGCTGAGGGGCCCTGCAAATCTCTGAGAGGAGCTTTGGGGCGTTTTTCTGATTTTTTTTCTGTTCCCAGGAATCCCAATGGTGAGGGGCTGCCCCATTGGCCGGCGTACGACCAGAAAGAAGGGTACCTGCAGATTGGCGCCACCACCCAGGCAGCCTGGAAGCTGAAAGAGAAGGAAGTGGTTTTCTGGACCGAGCTCTTTGCCAAGGACGCAGCCAAGAAGCCACCCCAAAGAGAACATGTTGAGCTGTGAATGGGAGGCCCAGCCAGCCACAGAGACCCGGCTAATCAGACAGGGCTAGTTCTGCAGCAAAGCGTTGGTGGGCCCCGGAGGCAGCTCCCTGCCGGGGGCACGTGGGCCGCAGCCACGGGCAGGGCATTTCTGTACCTGTGGCCTCCATTTTGGAAATAATGTTCTTTTGGTGACCAAGTCAGTGCCTATGTCCTGGGCTGGAGACTAACCCACCCTTCTCAGGGGCAGGAGGGCGAAGGGGGGTGGGCGCGCCGTGCGCAGGAAGTGCCCCTGGTGCGGCGGTTGGCACGTGCACACTGTCACCCCTCACAGGCTTCCGTCCTCAGCACCGTGACCTGCCCCACGGAGGAAGCCTGCAGGCAGTCACAGGTGCCTGGAGAGAGGTGTCCAACATGCAGCCCAACACAAAATCACACATTTACTTAAATCATATCAGATTTATTCATGATTACGTGTCGCAACGTGTGCACTGTGTGGCCCAAGACAACTCCTCCTCTTCCAGTGTGGCACACACACGCCGATAGGTTGGGCCCCCCTCCTAGAGAGAAGCCACCCGTGTGGCGGGTGCTGGGAGGGGGAGGCCTTGAGCGTTGCGGGGCCACCAGCTGAGCGTTGACAGCGTGCAGTGAGGGATCCAAGCCGGAAGGGCACCAGGGCGGGCCCTTGACCACCTGCCTCTATGTATGGACACCGGCCGACCCAGAGACCACAGGAACTGGCTCCAGGTCACACGGACGTCACTGTCCTAACTACTGAGCCAGCCTGAGGCCCCCTCACCCCTAAGATGGGGGTTTTTCTACCGTACCCCCTGCCACCCCCAGCCTGACTCCCTCCATGCGGGAATGCCGCTGTCCCCTTGGCCACACTCTCAGACACCTGTCCCTCTGCAATTGCCCGCCTGTTCGCTGCATGGCCCCCAGCTCCGGGGCACAGCACCAACTCTCTCCAGCACGGTTCCCCTCATTCCGGCTGCTGAGAGAGGCCAAGGCTTCGGGCAGAGGAGTGGGAGGGGGATGATGCCCTTTGAAAACTCTCCACCTGGTGGTGCCTGCCACACGCGCAGCCCCTGGGTGACAGGCGCGGCGTGCTCACAGCCAGCCTCTTCTCTTACTCATCGGACAAGCCTGGGGCAGAGCGGTGGTTATCCGCCTCGGGAGGCGGCTCCGCGGGAGGAGCGCCCTACCAGGTCGCACAACTGGGGCAGCCCCGCAGACCCGTAGGACCCGTGCTGGTGTCCAGATCCTGGTGGCGGGAGCAACTCCGCGTTGGTGGCCGTCAGCTCGTTGGTGTCCCTGAGTGCATGGGCGCCGGGAATGAAAAAGGAAGGCAAGTTCGTTAGTGACCAGAGGCTTTGCTGTCAGGCTGTGGGCTCCTTAGGGTCAGGACCAAGGTCACATCCATTTTCATGGTCGCCCAGCAGGTGTTTGGCAATGGGACTAGGTACATGGATGGATAGATGGCTGGCCAGGTGCATCTTTACAAGGTGGAGGTGGACAGCAGCCTTTGGTAATCTGATGACTACCTTTGAATGCTAGAGTAATAATAGTAACTAGAATTGTGTGTCTTCATAATGAAGTCTTTTACATATTAATTCTAATAATCTTCACAGCAACGCTTTGAGGTACATACTTGGTATCAACGCTGTGAAAGCTAACACAAGGCTCAAGAAAACTTAACTAGTAAGTGACAGATAAGACCAGCTACATAATTGCTGTGCAAAAATAAAACCACCAAAAAATAAAAACCCCCTTATTTTAAAAATTATTAAGAGGATACCTTGGTTGGTGTGGCTTAGTGGATCGCAAGCCTGTGAAGCAAGGGGTCACTGGTTTGATTTCCAGTCGGGGCACTTGCCTGGGATGCCGGCAAGGTCCCCAGTAGGGGGCGAGAGGCAACCACACATTGATGTTTCTCTCCCTCTCTTCCTCCCTTCCCCTCTAAAAATAAATAAATAAAATCTTTAAAAAAAAAGAAGATGGAGACAGCAGAGCATTAAAGCAGCCTAGGAGCCTGGAATCCTGGCTACAGAGCTTGGATAGGAACCTTGGCAGCCTGCCTCTGGAGCCTCAGTCCTTAAATGCAACGCAATCCTTCCTTCCAGCACTGGACACAATTCAACAGTCCTTTCCTGAGTTTGTTTTGGCCTCTGACCTTTACCACCCATTTGGCAGAGTGATTCTCTGCTGCCCCCTTGTGGGCAGTTCCCACACAGTCTTACCGGCTTCAGAAATGGAAACGTGGCTGCAATCCCAGACCGACTCCCAGGAAAGTTTACAAAGAGCAATGAATTTGCCTGTGCCGACACGTGCAGGAACAGCATTTGGGCTGGTTTCTTGCAGATTCTAGAGTCGTAGGCATGCAGGGGCTGCTTGAGCGGGAGTTTCCCAAATCTTATTTCTTCTTCAAATTGCAGTGAAATGCCTTTGGGCCCACGTCACCTCCCCAGACTCCAAAACAGAACTCATCCTGTCTCTGGCACTTTGGAAGTCTTCATAGCATTTCTCTGCAAAGGCTCTGCCCTTTGTCTGTTGCCTGGTCTGGTCTGAGGCTCCTAATTGGCCTCTCTGCCCCTATTCCACACCGCTTCTATACTTGCCCTTTGCCATGTGATTTCTGCGCTCCGCTCAGAGTCTGCGCTGGCCTCTTGACTTGCTCTGCCACTATACTATGGCAGGAGTGACGGGTGGTGGGCCAGCTCTAGGCTTTCTGGTTCAAGGAAGTGGGGAGAGTTCAAAGAGAGCTCTAAGCCCCATAGTCTTGGCTTCCCCCCTCTGCCTGGCAGAAGTGTGCGTTGGTGCCCCCTGGTGGCCACAGTGCCCAGATTCTCGTTTGATCAACTGCTTCCGCTGATTACTAATGTGCTTGGTCAGCCCAGGGGAAGGGAGTGGTCACCCGCAGCGGCAGGCAGAATGCTTGCTCAGCGGGAAAACATACCTGCTCAGCCAACTTAGAGGTGCCTCTGTGAATGCTAACCCCAGGTCTGTCTGTCCTCACTGTACAAGACCTGAGTCCTTCATGTAAGCCCATGGGACAGAGATGCCCTTATCTATGGCCACCCAGACCATGGTGCTTTCCACTGTTGTCAGCTGACACCGGAATCAGGGGAGGAAGCCATGGGGACGGAGCGGGAGACCTGTGCCTTCCCACTACCCTCTTCCCACGACAACCCTGATTCTGCCCAAGGAAGCAATGTTCCTGGAACAGACTGCGGTTCACCAGGTTGCATGAGCCTGGGCAACAAGACGCCGGCGAATGTCTGGGCAGCGTTCTGAGAAAGCTGCCCTCCTCCAGAGTAAGGAGGGACAGATAGCTGGCCTCTGCCTTTCCTTCTGCCTCTTCATTCCTGTTCTTCCTGCCGGAAAGGTGGGCAGGATGTCTGCATGTGGGTTAGGCATTTTCTCCCTGTGAGCAGAGAACTACATGCTGTGGGTGCTGGGACAGAAAGCTGGCAGCCCAACCCCCGGCGACTTTCTTAAGCTTCTCCAGGGCCACGCCAGGCCTCGGGGCTGGTCCAGGGGAGGCCGTTGCTTACGCTCTTCTCTGAACCAAGGACACCTTGTCAGCCTAGTGTATACAGGTGTATCTTTTTGCTTCTTGATACAGAGCCCAGGTGAAAGCTCTATCTGGCCCGAAGAACCAGGGAGCTTGGGAATGGGGTGTGTTTGCAGAAAGACAGCGAAAGTGTTTTCCCCGGGAGGCAGAGGCCGCTCTGTTCCCATGAACTCTGACCACGTGACCTGGGGCAAGTCATTTGTATTCCAGCACACTGTAGGCACTGAAATAGATGTGGTTTAGTATGTGTATGTAGATGTGTGCATGTGCGTGTACAGATTACATATACGTATATACATGTAAATAAAAATCTTAATTTTATATAAACATAATAAAGAGGGCATTGGTACTAGTAGAGGCCCCATGGCCCTCCCAGCTGGGCCATGTTTGGCCTTTGTGTCTGGGGTGAGGCAGATGGCGTATCAGAGTGGTTAAGAGCACAGGCTGGAACCAGGCTTCCGGGGTTCGAATCCCAGTCTCACCAGCTAGTGAGTGATTTCACCTCCTTGTGTCTCAATTCCCCCCAGCTGTAAAGCGGGTGACAATACGGCCTTAGGACTTGCGTAGGAGGACCAGTGAGATGAGATTTGTGAAGCTCCAGGAAAAGGAACTGGCGCGGGAGAAGCCCGCGTGTCTGCCGAGGAAAGGCCAGCACAGTGCATTGGCCTTGTCCAAGGTGCTGATGCTCCTGAGGCCTCAGTCCAGGGACCTTGGCTTGTGAGCCTGGGGTGGATGGCCCCACTCTCTCTCTGAACGAAGTCAGGAGCTCCTTGCACCCTGCTCCCCTTCCAATCCCAAAACTGTACTGGGGTCTCTGTAAGCGTGATTGGCTAGCTAATCATGCTAACCCTCACTCTGACGCTCGTGGTCGTGTGATGCATTTGAAATATCGGCCCTGCCATGTCCTTACTCATCTCTGAAGCCCTGCCCTCCCCCTTCTCTCCGGTGGTAGGGCTGGTTACTATCGAGTGACTGGAGATGGGGGTCAGGGTTCAATAGCAACCCCTGGGGAGCTTGGGGGGTTGTGGTGCGAGAGCAGAAGTTTAGAGGGACCGGGACATGAGTTTGGGGTGGGCAGCAGGCAGCACCTTGTGGCTGGGCTGACCGTGGCCTTCAGGTGTGCACCAGTCCACTGTGGCCATGCTTCAGGCCGTGCTGGGCTTGCTTCAGGCCTCTCCCCCCACCCCCGACGCCAAGTCTGCCTATCCTAGCTCGGGACTCTGGAGTAGAGAGAGCCTGAGGCCGAGTGGCGTGTAGGGACTGCCCTCTCTTTAGAGCCGTTCTATACTGAAGAAATAATGGTTCTGTGGCTCCTGGGTATGTCCAGGCCATGGCCCCCGCTGGGGTCTTCTTTGGGGACAGATATAATCTTTCTTGATTCCCTGAAAGCCAACCCCTTGCCTTCAGGCCCTGCTAGTCTGGCCCAGCGCAGGCCCTCCCAGGCACCA